GTGTGTGTGTGTGTGTGTGTGTGTGCACGCCCGCTCGTGTGTGTGTGTGTGTTTGGGTACGTGTATGTATTTGCCTAAATTAATCTATCCAGTCTCTTATCATTGATTACTTTTTCTCTCTTTAAACCCGAACCATCAACAAATCTAAATTGATGTATACTGGATAGGAGAGCAGATAATTAAACCTCAGAGATCTCCTGCTGACCCCAGCTGGGCACTTCAGTAACCAAGTAACTCTCCATACCAAAAGACAGTGTACGCTGGGGCGTGAAACGAGGCATTTGTATTAGGTTATCGGAAGCCTTTCCAGGCCTGCACAGTCATATCAAGGCCTCTGTGCCAGTGTAAAGTTACCCTCTGATATCGTGTGTTTGTTCAGGGAGCAGGGTTCTAAGAGAAAGTGGTGGTCTCGTCGAGAGCCTAATCTGAACACAAGTAGTTAAACAACTCTGAAGTGGTCTAAATTGTTGGTTCATTTTTATTGAATTTGTGTCAAGGGACTCTTTCTGAGTTACAAGTGCAAAAGCTTCACTGACTGATTTTGAAAACTTGTTTTTATTCGAATAGTTTCAAGCTTATATTTGTGCACATAGATTTTGCTATCCCCTCCCCCAACCCTCTTCCTCTTTCGACGCATTATACAGACCCCCCCCCCCTCCCCCAAAGAAACGAAAAGAAAAACAAAACAAAACAAAAACAACCACCGCACCCTCCAAAACAAAACAAAAGAAAAAGACAAGAGTACATAATTTTAATTACGAGAAACACCTTTACACTTTCAATTTGTCATTTTAAGGGCATTGTTGCAGGACACAGGGAGTTTCTGTTTGGTAGGTTCCAAGATATAAAAATTAAAAGGAAACATATATCAAATATAGCAGTTTGTTGTGTTTAACCTTCAGTGGGAATAATCATATAATAAGCCTCTGTTTGCGCATCTAAGGCCGAGAAGTCTGCAGAGAGGAATAACACAAGGCACTCCAGTAGCGAAGTTGAGATTTGGAAAGGGAGGGGGGGGGGCGGTAAGAACGTGCTACGTCTCATTGTTATTGAAATAACACCACTGACGTCTGGCACATACACTATCAATGGCAAAGGTAATAATTTCTTTTCTGGAGATCTCCTTTATACCCAACATTTCTTTTTTGCTCATGTTTCCAACTAGACTCAAGTTTTAGCAACAAAAGCAAGCTCTAGGCTGCATTAAATAATACCGTCAGCATCATTCCACAATCTTAGATCTATATATAAGTCATTTTTCAAAGTTTTGAGAAATTTAAAGGAAAAATCAAGCGTCCAAATGGAAGGCATGGTTTGGGAACAATTTATTTCAACTAAAATCTATGAAGGTAATACCTAAACAAAACAAGTCTATAAAATTGAAAGAATCCCCTTAATGCTAGCCTTGGTGTCTTTAATCATTTAACAGCTTACCTGGAAACCCCCAGAAACTGACTTTGACAACTGTGAAATAGCATTGGCGATTTTCAAAATACGCTTGACAATCGTATACTTGTAAAACGAGTCAACAAAGCGGTTTACAATTTTCAAAAGCAGCAGAAAGAACATTTATGATATTGACAAGAATTAGACCGAGCACCTATCATCTATGTTTGGCCGTCACTTTGATGCAAAGTCAACATGTTTGTCTAAAACATTAGTGTAGAATCAAGAAAATGAGGACAAGCATGTTTATTATCATCATATTAATTCTTTGAACCCCCCCCCCAAAAAAAAACCAACAACAACCAAAATCACCAAAAACGATGCAAGCCAGGCATTGTGGTTTTCTGAATAATTTAGTCAGTTATGTTTGGGCTGAAAGTGGTGTACATAAACACCCTGTCGTGATTTCGTTTGTGGCTTGTACGACCAAAGCGTGCAAGCAATAATGCGTTTATTCGCCTTTTCTGCCTTGTCCTTCTCCTTCATCTTAAGACTGGTCTTAACATCCCTCTGCTGTCGGCTACTATCTTCAGCTGTCAGTTTCCCGGTTCTAAAGTTGCTATCTGTTGATGTCATGTCCTGGCAATTGTCTTTCTCCCTAAGTATATGCCGATGCTTCTTCCTTCTTCCACTATTCAGTCCTTGATAGTGGAAGTATTTTGCGTTACTTAGCTTTCCTTTATTCATCCTCTTGTACCATCTTTGGAGTCGAGGGAAGAAATAGCTTGCGATCTTTGGCAAGCTGGACGGCCTGGCTGGTTGGATGTTGGGGTCTTCAGGATATCCTTCACACTCTCAATTCAGGTTTTCCTCGGTATCCGTCTTGCTTTGTACCCTGGTTTTCTTTTGTTGTACACCTTACTGGCAAGCTGGTGAAGTGCCATACGTATCAGATGTCCAAACTACCGAATTGTTTGCCTCTGAATGTAGTGAAGGATAGGTGTTGTTCCCATCTTTTCTCTGATCCTGGTGTTTCTGATCATGTCCCATCGGGTTGTGTTGACGGCTCTCCTCAGACATCTCATCTCGCAAAAGATTGTCCAGCGGTCCGGAC